CTCTCTAAAGAGCATTTGATTTTCTGTCAAAGGGTCAAGATAATTTTTAAACTTCTGAATTCTTAAATGATATTACAATGATATAATAGATCTAAATGGATTCTTAGGATCACCATACCAGTATTATCTAATTTAATCCACAAATATTTATGTTCAGTTATTTAATTTTTTTCATCGCTTAAAATTGAACTACTATAGGTAGCTGTAATTTTCTTTACTAATTTTTTATTTGTTTTACAAAGTTTTACTAATTTCTTACTAAAAACTAATTACATCATTTTAATATTTACCGATCGGCTTTTGGTCAGCTGGTTGAGGTGCGCTGACTCTGAGTTTTAAATTTGGCAGGGCATGAGTTCGATACCTGGTCTGCAAGTATTTACGAATAATTAAATACAATAATTATTTCCAAGACCACTGATGATGGGTACTTGACAATATTCAAAACATTTGTATGGTCAGCCAAAAACTTAATTAATTAAAACAATATAAAAATGAATCTTTGTTATTGTAGTTCACTATTTTTTGAAAACTTCAATAATTTCTTAATTTTTTTTATTTAACAATATGTCTTTTTTAAATCGCTTTAAATTACAGCCTAACATTAAGTGTTAGAATCTTGCAGACTAATAACATTTCATTACAAATTATTTTATATAAACATTATGGAATATATAATGATTTGTAAACTATTTCAAGGGGGCTCTGAATAAGTTGCCAGGGCTTATTTACTAGATGTCACGACGTATCTATTATTATATTCCGTCTCAATATTTCACAATTAAATATTTTAGATCCAGAAAAACATTGTTAAGTGGTGACTCAAATTGTTTCCGTAAATGAAATTGTAACGAGGTACTTTTAATTAGTATGTAAAACTAACACATATTTTTGTTATTTACGTATATTTCCAAAAATTTTGTTATCATATATTTATTTTATAGTTCCATATAGTACCATTATAGTTCCATATAGTATACAATTATAAAAATTGTGTAGGACACACTTCTTTAAATTCACTCCAGTGTTCTTTATAAATGGAATGGAAGAATTGTTAATAATTCAATTCCATTCCGAATGGCATCTAAATGATTACGTATTTCAATTACGTATACTGTGGAATTGTGCTAAGTCGATTACATTTCATACATATTCCAAATGTTTAAGTATTTATACCAACTCCTCTCTAATTGATATAAGCTGTATCCGTTAGATGTGGGTATTAAAATGATTGGAAGAATTATACTTGAAAATTCTTAAATTTGTCCCAATTTGTTTTGAGTGCTAAAATTTCGTGCTAAATTGCAAATAAATTTATTTAAAATGTTTCTAAAGTCGAATTTATTTAAATCAAAATGTAAATTTTGTTCAATAACGTGAATAGAATGCAATTTTTCAAATTTCATTGCATACCTTCAGGCGCATTAAACGGTTTGAAAAATTACACGGATGTTATTTTAATTGCTTGCATTGCATAAAGCTCTTATCTCATACAATTCGGGAGTATTGTTGTTGTTGTTGTTGTTTGATTTTAAATTTACAGGCTTTTATATTGAATTTATATTTGTTTGGCATTTAAATTAGAGACCAAATTATACTTTCAACTTTAAAGGCCAGCGGAATGTGAATATCTGCCCGACTTAATGGCCTACTTCATTTGCTCTAGTTTGCCTGTTTCCTTTTTTATCGCTAGAGTAAACGCAAATGTGGAACATATTTGCAGTTAGTTTCATTTATAAATAATGGCAACTCGTAAAAATTTATTCTATTTTTTTTTACTTTGTTTATTTGTGTACACGAAATATATCAAAATTTCAAAAAATTAGGCACGTCCTCAACTGTTGGCGTCGGTTATCTTCAATGTTCTGCTTAGCATTCTGTGTGCGAACAAATTCCAACACGAGAATTTCAAAAATTTTATTAATGCCCTCAAATGCGTTTTAGTTTAAATAACTAAAGAAATTTCGAAGCTGTGTTAAAATATGCTGCAATAATAATTCTTTTTTCTGTTGTAATTTTTTTCCCTAAGTTCTCCCTGGAAAATAAATAGAAACAAAAATTTTTGCATCATTAAATTGAATTTTATCAAATTTATATGCGCATACATTGCATGCAAGTTGCATACTGCATTATTGCACACAGTACGACGCACTTCTGTGCTACACAGTAGAAATAGTGACAGTTTCAGAATCATCTGGCAGCATGAAGAGATTCCAGTTTCCTTGTCTCAGAAGCGACATAGCGCAAGAAGCAATTTGTAGTCAGTAACTATTTCTTTTTTTGTTTTTTTTTTGTATTGGTTGCACTGCTGTCACTGCTGCAATCTCAAATGCAGCGGAACTAAGGAATAAAATATTTCTTGTTTTCTATGTTTTTACGTTTTGTATATTTTTCTTTTATTTTAAAACAGGATGTGGAATTATTGTATCATGGCGCTAGTATTTCCGCTTCAGCTTACGTACTCTTGCACATATTTTAAGTTTATTTATGTAAATTGAAATTTATGGTCACAAATCAACTAAGTTTCTTGATGGTTTATTTGTTTTCATGTTTACTTGAGTAAAAATTTTTATTTTCATCTTTCAAGTTTCGCACACAATTTCAATAATTTTAATTTATTAAATAAACTGAAAATGCATTTAAAGCAGATTTATTTTAACAAAAGATGAGTTCATCAATTTTTCATGTGTAAATACATAAATTCAATTTTATTGAAATTATTTTGTAATTAATTTAATTGGTTTTTTACATATAAATTAAGTTTTAATAAAAATTATTAGGATGATGATTATATAAATATTAGGAGATTAGGATATTATTAGAATGGGTTTGGACCAATTATTTGATTATTACTTCAATTGGTTTCATACATATAAATTATATTTTAATTAAGAATATTAAGACGATAATAATGCAGAAGACTTTGGACCCTTTGAGAGATCAAAATAGGTAGGACATACAGAATAAAATAAACAATGAGTAGTATAAATTGATAAATAGAGTTTCTATAATTGAATACGCAAACAAATAAATCCCATGTTCAGACATTCAAATTATCTTAATTTCGTGAAAATGAAATTAAGTTAATTTCGAAAGTGTTCATACTGCCACAAATTAAGGAAATCATTTGTTTTTTATTTACAAATCGAATATTACAAATTACATGCCCCAAACACCATTTGTATCTGGGAAATTTTAAGAGTTGATTATTATAACTAAAAAATAATGGCATTCAATAGTTTTATTAGCTTTAGTGGATTTCAGGTTTGTGATTTATTATTTTTCACTCTATTTTAAATGAATATCAGTTACATTTCTTTTTCTAAATTCAAATTTAAAAATTTGCACTACCTTCAAAATATTTTCCCCGTTTTATTAAAACTGTCACTGAAATTTATTTAAAAAAATGTCACTTTACTTAATTTCATCTTTATCTTTGTTTAAAATTTATATTACGCATAGTTGAAATCGAAATTTCTCTTAATTTCAGTCTTTGTTTTAACGAAATTAAGGCCATTTTCCTTAATTTCGTTCTAACCTTAAAACTGAATTATGTATGGAAAAAACAACTTAATATCGCTGAAACGAAGACGAAATTAAGATTTTTGCGAAATTAAGGTGTCTGATGTCTGAACATAGTAAATGATATAAATAGAATAAATAAGTTAATTACACTGTAAGAATGCTGCAACCTATCGCACAGATAAGATAATCAGACATCTCTCAAGAGAAATGGTTTATAGTGAACACGATTTTTTGCTGCAAGAACACTATTCACTGTCTTGACTCTGCAGAAATGAACCTTATAGAAATTAATAATAAATTATAATTAACATTTTTGCAATTAATTTATAGATGACATTTTATTAAATTACCTAAATTTAAGAAAAATGCTAAATGAGGGCAATCAATCGATATTATAATTAATTTAATATATGAAGAATCTCCTACCACTTCACCAAAGAGCAAGAACAGGAATTTATATATAAATAATAAATTATTATTAAATAAATAATAATAAATATTTAAAAATAATAAATTATTATTAAAGCTTCTACGATTAATCTATAGATGACATTTCCCAAAAATATTTAAAAATAATGCGTAGTTAGAAAAAGGAACGGATTTTATAACTAGTTTAAAATTATTAGATCATCTTGCCACTTCATCAAAGATCAAGACCAGAAACCTTTTATATGGTAAATATATTATTTATTACAATTAAATTTACTGTCATCTAGATGGCATTTTTCAGTAATACTTAAAAATTATGATTAGTAAGAGCAAGCAAAGAATTTTATAACTAGTTTAAGATGATTAGATCTTCCAGCTACTTCATCAAAGAGTAAAGACAGTTTAGTACTTTCCACAGCTAAGTGATGATGAGACTCAATAGATAAGGAAAGAAGTAAAAGATTAAAAAAGTGTGATGTGTTATTAATTAAGAGGTTGAGGTTTGTGATTTAACACAGAATAACTCAGGTGTTGTCCAACCAAAAAATTGAACTTAGAACTGGATTGGAAACATTATGTATTATAAGAAACTTAGCTGTGGCCAAGTCATTCTTTATTATAAAGGAAAAAAATTAACAGTTTCCATAACCACGTCAACAGAGACGGAAAAATAAAATGAGGTTTGTGTAATGACTTATTTAAGGACTTACGAAGAATTAGTCTAATTTATGTTTCAGTTATTCAAAATTTAAGCTGTGATGATTTAAGTACAATACTAACTGAAAAATGAGATCTCTAAAGCTCGTTTATTTTTTTTCAACTTAACACAAATTTTTACATGAAATCAAGAGTGACTACAAAAAATAGACATCAGTAGCTAGAGACAGAAAAACCAACAAATTGATGAAAGTGGAACCCTTCCATGCTAGCTTAGATTCTTCCACTAGCTTAGATTCTTTTTAGATTCTTAGACTGTTTTAACAAAGATGAAGATAATTAAAACTCTACGAATAGCAACTACAAATTTTTTTAATTATTTTTAATTATCAAGTACCATTATCTAAATTCAAGTTATGAATTTATAAGATTAAAGTAAGACTTTGGAAATTATAAATATAGTATTGTTCTTCCAAATTTTTCAGTCGCCTTTGAATAATAACAACTTATCAAATCATAAATTAAGTAGCATTATTAATTTTACTATAAATTGTATTCAATGTATTGAATAAGCTAATATAATTGTAGTCATATTTACAAATAATTAACTAAAATGTATTACTCGCAGTACAGCATTCACATATTATCAATCCTAAATGCAAGGATTAGGTTCAATATGTACCAAGTACTGTAAATAACAGCTTTTATTCTCTTCACAAAAAAAAAACTTCTCCAATTTTAGAAAACTGATGATATAGTTCTGGACAACTATTCATAAATTTTATGGAATCATAGTCATGCTTCATGAAGAATGGAATTTAATTATGGTAACTAGAGGATGCACCTCTGCCAATTTCATTAAAATAGCCTCTGGTGTAGGGTTGAAATAGAACAAAATTACTTTATATTTGCAGTGCTATGACGTTGACTTAATAAACCTAATTTCATACAAATAAGTCCCAGCGTAGCTGCAGTCAATAAAATTTAAAATAAAAGCTTAGCAAATTCAAGCCAAACCGCAACTCGAATTGAATGCCGCTGCCGCCGGTGCTAGTAGAATATGTATATTGGCATCCATATCATTCGAAACAGTGCTCGTCTGTCAGATACAAATAATGCTGGATTATGTGGATGAAGCTTTTAATTTGCAGCAATCAAATGTTATCGTAACTACAAATTGCACCACATCAGACAAGCTGTAATTAGTTTGAATTTTGAAGCAAATGTCGTCACATCTCTCGACACGAGCCCGTAATTTCTGAGCTCATATGGTATGCTGCAGTTGACATGTTATGCATTTGGCAGGACTAACAAATTTCATATAGTATGTGCACTTACCATCAATTTTGCAGTTAACTGAGTTGTTGCTCTTCTTGGATGAGTTGCGTGACATTTGCGAATGATTTGTTTGAGAATGCGATGGGCTGGAGTCAATGGAACGATGGGCTGTCGTTGTTGTTTGAAATATGCTAGGACCACCAGCCAAAGGACTAGGTGTCACTGTTACCATAGGATGTACACTGCCTGAAATGCATTTGAAATGTGATTAATTTGGAATTGTGCGGAAATTAAAAGTATTTAAAGCTAACGTATGAGTAACATTGTTAGCCGTCAATGCTTACCCGTTTTGCTTGGATCATGAGTGAGGTGACCACCTAACGAATGCAATTTATCAGTTATGCCATGAATTTTATCTACAAAAGAATTGCGTGGTTCACTTTGCGGCAGGCTTGGCGTAATTTCCGAAATGCTATTAATGTTGGGTATAGAGCCTGTTCCAATAAAAAAAAAGGCACAAGCTTAGATAAAGGAAACAAATGAATGGGACATGGAATACAATAAAACATACGTTGCCTTAGCGGCGCTGATAAATGAATTTTTTACAAATGTTTTATATGCATACCAGTGACTCGAATTATTTTTATACTTACGGCAATTTTTTATATTTGTCGCTGCTAAAATACTTACCCTTTGTGTGGGAGGTGACTGGGGCGCAGGCAGTCGTGCTGCTAATGGCCGCCATTTGATTGAGTGCCTTACCATGCAATTGTGATTGCGTGACATTGGGCTTGAGAAAGGACACAAATAAATGTTTAACCAAATCTGCTGGGGTTTCACAATCGAGAAAGGCATCCAGAAAGTAACGAAAGCCATCGTAATCAATGTCCTGTAAGCATATTTTCAAATCGAAAGAAGCGAATAAAATACGATAATATTAACTTTGTGATTGTTTGACATTTTAGAATTTAACTAAATTGCTTAGAAATGTTAAATGTGTCTGCGAGATACTTAGTGCTTTTGTGATTCAAGTGCGATATCAAGTATAATTAAATTGAAAATATGTGCAAATGATTTATAGCTGCCAAATTTAAAATGTAATTTAAAATTACTTAAAAATACTTCACTGCAATAGGACCCATAAAAGTGTATTATTTTACAACAGTCATTTTAGTTCTTGCATTTAAGTATAAAACTTTGTTTTATTTGCAATTTCTGAATTTCTGAAGCATAAAACCTAATGTATTTTTATATAGAAAAGAAAATAAATTTCACAATTGTAAAATATATTATTGCAGTAAAATATAAAAAAGAAAGTTTTTTTCTTTTTTTGTTTTTGTTTTTTTTTTGTAGAAATACCAACTGTTTTCATAAAAAAATCCAACTGCAGACAGACTCATATGTGCTTTGGTGTACATGAACTGCACTCGCAGGAAGTTTGTTTCCTTAAATTAAGTATTTTTATTTATACTTGAGTTACTTATGAAAGCAAGCACACAATCCAAAATCGTTTAACATCGCCTTTGTGAAGAACGTTTCGAGTTACTGGAAATGACACTTAGGAAATGATGGTTAGGAAACTCAATGTGTGCAATCGTTTTGCTCTAACAATATTTTATTTAGTACTTATAAGCGATTTATGTTTATTGTGTGCCATTAAGTATTTCACTCAATAACAAATTAAATTTTTGTTTTGATTTTAAAATTTCAAGAATGAACGAAATATGAGATAACAATGTTCAATAATCAATAAATTAAGGCACAATATAACAAAAGTTACAACAACCTAAGAATTATTACGAGATTATTGACCGGTCACTGTAGAATGAATAATCACCTGTCGAAGTTAGGAGTTCAATCCAACTCAGACTGCAGATACTATAGAGAAGAAAGAGAAATTGCATACCACGTGCTTGGGGAGTGCCCGGCACTGATGCACAAGCGGAAGAAATGCCTAAGAGGGTATTTCATGGAACATAAAGATTCAAGACTAGGAAAGGTAGGCTGTATACTGTCGTTCATTAAAGAAATCGGACTTGGAAAAACACTCTAACCCGAGTAAGGGGCACAATAGATCTTTCAGGTCGCAGTAATAATAATAACCAAAGTAAAACCCACTCATCTGCAATCCTTACTAACATGTCGGCGGTTAAACTTAAGTTTAACACAATATTAAAGTTTCAAAATCGAGGTCTCTCACTAACTAAGCAGCAGTTATATAACTAGCAGTCACTAACTAAGCAGCATATATATTATTTATATTAACTTAACTACAGTTTTGAAAAGAAATGCAATACAAACTCTTTCCACTGTTGCGTGAAAATGGAACTCAAAGAGGAAACAGTCAGCCTCATATTATATTGGGCCACAACCAATTTGCGGTCCTACATGAAACTTTTCCAAACTTAAAATTAATGAATGATTGGAAAGGGCAGCTCGGACTAATTGGGTTAATACAATTGCTTGCAGGAAAGCTAAAGAATTCACGCCAAATCGATCAAATGCCAGACCAAGGAAGCTTTTAATGCTAAACAGAAATAGCATACGACTTGTCACAGGATTTCTCACTGGACACTTTGGTATAAAAAAGCATTCATCGAACCTAGGTATTACAAGAGAGAATAGCTGCAGACTTTGTTACGAAGAAAAGGAAACAGCAGAACCAAGTCTGTATCTCAGTGATAGTCTAGACAGACTAAGACTTATCAACTGCCTATTCATTTATAACGGAATTAGGCAAAACCTCTCCAAAGGACGTAATGATGTTTTAACTGCTACTTGTCTATGGAACTAAAATGAGTTTGACATAATATTTTCGGTATTCGTTCATATGAGGAAAAATACAAGCTTCTTAATTGCTCTTTCAGCTCAAGACTTTCGAACTAATGTAGAGTTCTGAAGCCTGAACTTTCCATGCTAAATTTAAAGCCCTCTATAAAAAGTTTGACGTGGTGTAAGGTGGTATACAATATTGTTAAACAGCGTCTTTATATTAGCGAATAGCCAACCCCAGTATCAACTCAGCTACTGTGGTTCAGACTACTCAAATATTATATTCGTTTCCTTGCTAAAGTTAAAGGCACCCATGCTGAAATGGTAAGGTATGATACGACAAAGTAAATCAATGTTTATTTACTTACGGATAGCCAAACTCTTGCTGCATTACGCCCAAGAGATCTTAAATAATTTGTATTGAAAATGTTAACATAGAGAATTAAAATAATGGATATCCACGTTGCTACTAAATCCATCACTTAGCTTCAGACTCTCAGTTGATTAGAGAAATTTTCATGTTAAAAAAAAGGATTCCTTGCCTTCTTATTTGTATTATGGATAGCTATAACTAAGTGAGTGATTTGGTGGCAACTTGACTGTCCGGGTATATATAAATATTGCTACAGAATATCAAATTACACCTTACCGTCTAAGCTGTTTCAAAGATTACTATAATTCTAGCATAAGAAATACTACAATACTACAAAACTTTTTTATTTATGCATAATCAAGTTGCTATCAAATTATTTAAAAGTCTAGTGATGATGTCAAAATCCCTAGTGTTGTACTACTCGTCTTTGAATGATATAAGTAAGGATCTCTCTCAAAATCATTGGTGTTGTACCGCTCATCTTTAAATGATTTTCACGTAAGGCCTGCTGATATGCCTTTTGAAAACTTTGGTATTGACGATGTTATAGGGCATATATTTTGACTAGATATGATGCAATCGTTTTGAATAACGCAACATCTGTGATTGGTATATCGGTTTTATTTTTTCAAAAATATACACTGATTGGCAAACAGAAGAAAGTAGCCACATGTTAAGACAATTTTGGCTTGAAATAGACGACAAACAAAGAAGCATTCTCTTAAGTGGTTTAATAAGAAGTTGTGTAAATCTGCAGACGTCCATTCATACAGACCATTGATATGTATGGAGGTAACGAGACTACATGATAATTCCAAAATTTGTCAGCATAAGAGCATAAGTGAAAGAATGGAATATTTGTTTTACACTAAAGAGTTAACTCTTTATCATGTTTCTTATGTAAGACTAAGTCTTTAAATTGGTTTTGGATCCAGATTGTTTTATTATAGGATTTTATGTAGGCAGTTCCTTCTATAATGGTATCATATTACATCACTTTTGTGATTACCATAATTATAATAATAAATGAAACGTGCTACCATAATTTTATAGTTAAAAGACCAGCATTACAAAGTTCCAGTTGATCTAAGTCCATGCTTATTTTTACATGGTACTGTGCTATAAGTCCAAATTGTAGGTTACTTAAGTTAGGACTGTACCTATGAAGACTAAATGAATGATATGTAGAATGGGATGATACAATGATGATGAAATTATACAAAAACTCCAACGGCTAGTCCAATAAAGATGCAGATACTGCATAAAGATGCAGTACCGGTATGAAATGAGCGGTTTTTGGTGAAAATAAAACACTAATTATTAATAGGAAAGTAAAAAATATTTTATTCAAAGTATTAGCCATTGCTTTCTACACATTTTGACCACCTTTCTAGCAATTTGTGGATACCACGCCAAAAAAATTGTTCGTCTTTTCAAGCAAACCAACCAGACACCCAATTTTCGACCTCCTCGTAAGAATCAAAGTGCTGCTCAGCCAATGCGTGTCCCATCGATGAAAACAAATGGTAGTCGGAAGGAACCAAGTCTGCTGAATACGGCGGGTGGGGTAGCAGCTCCAAGCCAAGTGTTTTGATTGCATCCTGAACCCGTTTTGCTTTGTGTGCAGGTGCATTGTCATGGAGCAGACTTACCTTGCCGTGTCTTATGGCCGATTCTGGTCGTTTCTCGATCAATGCATGGTTCAAAATTTCACAAGTGTTTTTTCGGTTTTCCATCTGTCTTTCATTCAATTCATGTGGCACCCATTTTCCACACTTTTGGATCTTTCCCATAGCTTTTAAACGGTCAGAAATTGTTTGTTGTGCAACATTTAACATTTCTGCAATTTGCTTTTGACCCAAAGTGTCATCTCCATCCAATATCGTCTGCAATTCGGCGTCTTCAAACTTTTTTGGCGGTCTTCCACGTTCTTCATTTCTCACATCAAAATCATTATTTCTGAACCGTTGAAACCATCTTTTGCATGTTGCTTCTGATAGAGCATGATCACCATATGCCTCGACAAGCATTCGATGCGACTCTGCACAACTTTTCTTCAAATGAAAACAAAAAATTAATGCTTTCCGCAAATCATCACTTTCTGGTACAAAATTCGACATTTTTCCCTGTCGGAACATTTGTATCTTTACGCTCACTTCATACCGGTACACCTGGTAGTTAAAGTAATGAGGAATATTTCTATTGCATCAATCTTGCTGTAGTTATAAGGGTAAGAAAGAAAGTGATTCACACCAGCTATATTAAATAACTGCTAGATGATCTTATTCAGTTGTAAGATCTTCTCCAAAAATCATATTTAGATTCGTTAAGGCTCATAATTTGTTTGAAAGTCATTGATTTTTATAGGAAACATAATAATCCTTGTGTGCAATATAGATTTTTTTATTGTTTATTAATTTTGGCTATGCAGTCCTTTAAAACTACATATAACTGCTGTTAAAAATCGAAGTAAAATAACTAAAAATATAACAATAAATTGACATTCCAAGAAAAATAATTTATTAACATCCTTCTAGAAAAAAGAATATTTTTTTTATATTTATTTTAAAAAGGAAATGTGATTTTTTTTCGCATTTTCTCTTGGTGGGAATATTACAGACCATAATAAATTGAGGAATATTTGATTGCTAGAGAATGGTAAATAAAATCTTTTGTTGAAAATCTTTTTAAATTATATAATAGCGCATTATTAACAATAAAATTTAGGAATCGCTTCACTTTAT